ACTAGTAGATTCTTGTTTCACGTCGTCTGAAATCCATTGTGAGGCTCCCACGCTTGTAGAATCGACAAACAAATGTCCTTGCTTAACTGAAGATGGACTATCTTACAGATATAGACATCTTTTCCACTTTTACTTTACTAAGCTTGAATAGAAAAGTAATATATCAATAGCATGTACTTCAATTAATACTACCTTGAGACATTTTCCAGATGGGCCTTTTGTTACCAATTCTTTCCCTTCTTTTTCGTAAGTATTTGTTGATTTGGGTGTGTTGTTCGATTCATTCGACACTGACCACCTATCTCCATCTTTGGTGAATTCAAAAGTCCAGGTGGATGCTTTGGCCATGTTAATCATTTCATCTGAATAACCTAAAAGTTTTATACATATTTCATATCATAAATATAATAAATGAAATTGAATACAACTGTTTGGAATTTTTAAAAAATGAAATTACCCACCAGTTCTAAGTTCCCCATCACAAAGGGTGTTTATATTTATATACTACAGTGTCTAAGATTCATGAATAACTACCGAAACTTTATCTCGCTCGTAAATCCATCGTTGATAATCGCTTATTTGATAATATTTGCTTGTTTTGTTTTGTCCCTTGTTGTGCACCGTATTGATAGATGCAACTTCAAAATCGTCGCACTAGAAGTGAAGATAATACGTCAATTGACACACCTTCTGTTCTGTGTTCATTTTACTTCGATTATGTTCACACTTACATGTATTTACCTGTACTGGCCGTGTACCTGCACTAATGAATTATATTTACTGAATATGAAATATATTATTTCAAAAAAAGTTTAAAGTACTGGACTAGAATGTTTATCCTGGTAGCATTATCGAAATTGAAATAACAAAAATATCTAAACCTCTCACTTGTATGACAGTCGCATAAAATCCCATTATATTGACAGAAATGTGTAAACAAAACAAAAAGACATAAGAGGTAAAAATGTCAAAAAAGGGGTTCAGCAGTCAACATTGTTATAATCTTAGTCACTATAAAAACAAACAAATAAATCAACAAAGAAAGACAAAACGGAATATAGACAAAGCACATTAGCAAAAACGAAAGACAGGAATACAACATTTACCGTACCACAATAACACAATGACGGGGAAACAGTACCAAGCGACGTCAAATGGATATTACCAACAATTTAATAAACAGTAACAGTAATAATTTACAAATGAACGAACACAATAACACGCATACAAGATGATAAACAACGTCAGTATCTAGAATCTATACTCCAAGACAATCGTGTATTATTTGTGAAGTTATTACGAAATATTTACCAACAAGGACTTAGTGTTTTCCAATGAACTTATGTAGAAGAAGGGCGAGACGTTCTTTTACATTACCTCGGTTCATCAACTTTCTGCTCAGACACTGGTGACTTTTTTGCAAAGTCTGAGAAGCAGACACAGTGGTTTTGTGCCAACCGCTACATTTCAGTGCCGGGATTGTTGGATTGACATTACTATTACGCGAATTAAAATGAATTTTGATTTAATGATACGCTAAAATTACAATCTGATGAGCTAGATTTAAATGTCAAAGAAGAATAAATTAAGATTCTATACCACTTCAAATTATTAAACCTTTAAAAACGAGGTTAAGCAAATCTAGTGTATTAAAAGATCACTCTAACACGTTAAGGAATGTTTTATTAAGATATGTTTTGCTCAACAAAAATGGCGAAGAAAAGATGTAGAATATTAATGCAAGACATATAACACCAATTCCGGAAACGAAAAGCGTTAACATTTTCAGCGCTTCTGTGTTGAGAAAGGGAAGTATGACCCGACAGAACACGCGGTATCGAGTTTAGGAAAACACCCATACGGATTTGACAAAGACAAAATGAACTAATAAACAGCCCTTATATTGCGGCTGAAATTAAATTTGTCAAAATATCCAGAATATAAGTAAAACATGAAACCAAAATCTCTGTATGGATTTGAAATTCTTGGTACATTAAAAAATTAAAAGAGATAATGCCATTGCAAGGATTTAGAAATAATATGCAAATTAATGTCTAATTAAATGACATAATTTCCATTTTCAATAAAGGCATGTACAGAATTAATATATATCAAACCTTGACTTACCTAAAGCTTTTCCTATACCTTCCATATTGGACATAGATACTGATTTCCATTTTCCTAAAAACTGAGCCATATTTAAGAAAATACAAAAAGCTATTCGTATGTTAACCTTTTGTGGTCTTTGAATATGTGTGGGTAAGATAGTGTTTACTCTTTATTTATATAGCATACCTCTGTTGGGATTTTAGGTTAGCAGGTCATCATTTTTTTAAGTTGAACGTTCTAGTTCCTGAAGAAAAAAAAAACAAAGTCCTTTAAATGTCCAATCAAAGATGGGTATTACAACCATGGGCCAATGTAATGATAGATTGTGCTAAAACGGTAAGTCATTCAATATTATTGCGAAATAGAAAAGTCAATAAATTGTTTTTTTCAAGTAATCATTTTAAGTAGAATTTTCTAAAATATATTCTGAAAGAAAGTATAATATCCTTTATATGTCTGACTTGAAGATTGATTGGACTAATACTGTAATACATTCATATTTTATTATTATGAAATTAATTCCAGGTCATAATTAAAGTCGAACGTTTATTTAATAGACATAGGAAGATGTGGTATGAGTGCTAATGAGACAACTCTCCATCCAAGTTACAATTTATAAAAGTAAACCATTATAGGTCAAGGTACTGCCTTCAACACGGAGCATTGGCTCACACCGAACAGCAAGCTATAAAGGGCCCCAAAAAATTACTAGTGTAAAACCATTCAAACGGAAAAACCAACGGTCTAATCTATATAAAAACGAGAAACGAGAAACACGTATGAACTACATAAACAGACGACAACTACTGTAATCAGATTCCTGACTTAGGACAGGTGCAAACATTTGAATAGAACGTTTATCTATATACAAATGTATCTATTTATTATTAACAATGTTTATATAGCACATTTTCTAATTATCTGGTAATATTGTAATTTAAATGTGCATTAATTTGCACCTGTCCTAAGTCAGAAACCTGATGTTCAGTGGTTGTAGATTGTTGATGTGGTTCATAAGTGTTTTTCGTTTTTTCATTTTTATATAGATTAGACCTTAGGTTTTCCTGTTTGATTGGTTTTACACTAGTCCTTTTGGGGCCCTTTATAGCTTGCTGTTCCGTGTAAGCCACGGCTCCGTGATAAAGGCCGTACTTTGACATAAAATGGTTTACAAATTGTGACATGGATGGAGAGTTGTCTCATTGGCACTCATACCATATCTTCTTAAATTTATGTAGCACAACTGTGCTTATTAGTGTTTCCCTCGGTTTTAGTTTGTAACCCTGATTTGTTTTCTCTCTATAGATTTATGATTTTTAAACACCGGTATACTTCTGTGTCGTTTATTTATTGCAATAAACTTCTTTCTCTTTTTTTTATTTTAATCAAAATTACTCTAAACAGAAAAACAATCAATTCTGAAAAAGAGGTGTTAAATATTTGAGTGATGTCAAACGCGCGATTCTACGTCAAAGTTAATGTTAATCTAACTATGTGTCTGTAAGGGTAAGGATTCGGTCCCAGTACTTAAAATCTTTCAATTCTTTATTAACGGATTTTACATATATAACTAAAATCGTATGATGAAAAAGCAAAATATGGTTGTTAAATTTGATGTTTGCCTTTGTGTGCTTCTTTGTTACATTCGTTTGTTTTTATAGTGATTAGGATGATAACACACTGTTTACTGCTGTACCCCTATTTTTGACATTTTTACCTATTGTGTCTGTTTGTTTTGTTCACGAATCGTTGTCAATATAATGTAATTTGATGCGACTGTCATACGAGTAAGAGGACTAGCTAGCTATAAAACCAGGTTCAATCCACCATTTTCTACATAAGAAAATGCTTGTACCAAGTCAAGAATATGACAGTTGTTATCCATTCGTTTGATGTGTTTGAACTTTTGATTTTGGCATTTGATTAGGGACTTTCCGGTTTGAATTCTCCTCGGAGTTCAGTATTTTTGTGATTTTACTTTTTAGACCATCACTACAGTTAGAATGAATACGTATAAAACGGAAACAGAATACGTTTAGTGATACGTGTTATTACAAATTTGATTGTTTAGGACATAATACAGTATAGTGGTACATGTTATCGCAAAAATGTTGATGTATTACTTGACTCATGACTGTTTTATTAAATAACGTTGCAAATAATGATTCATATAAAATAAATGGTCGTTTAACCGCTAACACGTTTGAATGACGTGCTGGACATAATTGCACTACCACAACACGAAATATAAAGGATAAAAAGATACCACATTTGACATTAAAAATCCCGAGATGAAGGGAAACGGACAACGTCGTGACCAAAAAGAGAAAGACGAAAGACGACGAGGGAAAAGTAAATTGTTATGTAAATGATGTATTCGATATGAGACAAACGGTTAATTAGGAAAATTCTAGAAGGGATAATACCACCAAATCATAGTACGTCAGATCCGGTTTCTTACGAAATAGGGTAAAACAATCACATTCCTTTGAATTTGACGGTTGTAGATAATCAACCCTGAATTTCATTGCAGAAAACGTTGCTGAGTCATCAATATAAATTTTAGGTACTGCAAAGCACCATTCTTTTTTTTATTTTCTGTTTCTATTAACTATTTTGGTAACCTGAGATTGCATGGTTACTAAAGATTGTAAACAGGAACAAAGGAGTGAACATTTGATTGGTTAACTTCCAGTGATGGTCATTATCTTAATTGCAATGAAATGTTATGTGAAATTTTGTCTGTAGTACTGCACATAACAAACCTTTACTCATGCAAAGTATTTTTTTATTTGTAAGAAAGATAAATTCTGCACACTTTTTTAAAAGTGCCAATATAAAAATTAGGGAAAACCTAAAGTGTTTACTTCTAATAAACATAGATCGTCAAGAAATTGTTACGTTAATTATGGTGATAGTGATGACAAATACATGTGTAGTTCTGAAAAATGATTAATTCTGTTTAATTTTGAACTTATTTGTGAGATATTCGGCTGATACGGAACACGATTTATAGTTTTTTTTTGTTACAGACTATTGATTGAAAAAAGATATCATGAAGGTGGATTCTTTCTCCGGAAAGAGTGCATGCTGTTAAAAATGGAAACTAGGATCCCTATCACTGAATGGGACGACTAAATTTTGTAATTCAGTTTTTTTTTTGGGGGGCATTTTAATAAAATTTTGTACAACGTAACCAGTGACTAGAATATAACAAAGTTTTAACAGCTATCATTTAAAAGAAGGATGTTTGCTTAAAAGTCTCGTATTTGTACGTAATTAAGCAGCCGACTCTTAACTGTCATTCCTTTCAAGTTCAAATGATTCCATGGTCACTGAATACTTAGAATTACATCTAGGAAAATGTTGTTTCAAATGCGGCAACATCAACGTACTAGATTGACGTATTAGTCTCTACTGCTTATTTCAATTATAGATTATCTGTAACTGTTACAATGTTTCATTTTTCAGCATCTTGTGAATTCTTGGGTCATTGACACTCCACTTTCAAGTTCTTGAATTGTCTACAAAATACGTTGAACATAACTATATTATAGAATACAATTCTAAAGGGTTCAATATTTGTTGAACATTCTTTATTTAGATAAAATTCTGTACGGGTTTTTAATATGATTAATTCAAGACTGGTTTTTGATAATATTCATTCTATACGAATTTTTTTATATGATTCAAAAATATTAATCTATCTTTATTGAAGTTTTCAACAATAAAAGTAGCTGCTTTTGTGTATGCCTTGGAAATCTCTCTGCTGACAAACAAATTCCGAATCGTAGAGTCTTTCAAAAAGTAAAATCACAAAAATACTGAACTCCGAGGAAAATTCAAACCGGAAAGTCCCTAATCGAATGCCAAAATCAAAAGCTCAAACACATCAAACGAATGGATAACAACTGTCATATTCCTGACTTGGTACAAGCATTTTCTTATGTAGAAAATGGTGGATTGAACCTGGTTTTATAGCTAGCTAAACCTCTTACTTGTATGACAGTCGCATCAAATTCCATTATGTTGATATCGATGCGTGTCCCAAGCGTGTCCATTTATCCAACCTGTGATTTTTTTAAACTATATTGCCTTCAGTTCGCTAAAAAGTCGAAGTCTTCAAATTCTCGTCTTTTTTTAACTCTACGCACAGGGGGTTGTGGTTTATTCCTCGAATAGTTATAATGGACGAAATGGAAACTCTATCTGTATTCATCGGTAAGAACAAACATTAAGGTACATGTAGTTAAGATAATTTGTCCAGTAAGCAGTAGATAGATATAGGAAGATGTGGTATGAGTGCCAATGAGACAACTCTCCATCCAAGTTACAATTTATAAAAGTAAACCATTATAGGTCAAGGTACGGCCTTCAACACAGAGCATTGGCTCACACCGAACAGCAAGCTATAAAGGGCCCCAAAAGATTACTAGTGTGAAACCATTCAAACGGAAAAAACCAACGGTCTAATCTATATAAAAACGAGAAACGAGAAACACATATGAACTACATAAACAGACGACAACCACTGTAATCAGATTCCTGACTTAGGACAGGTGCAAACATTTGCAGCGGGATTAAACGTTTTAATGGTACCAAACCTTCTAGACTTGTTTCATTTGATGCCTATAACATGATAGACATATCCACATATTGAATTTTAATTTACCAACGACTTTGAAAAAAGCCAAAAACATAAGTATCTATCCTTTCCCTTTCCGTTAAATACTAGTATTATGTTCATATAATGGAAGTTGATTCAGTTTGTTTGTTACATCTGCAGTGTCCAAGTGTGGTCACTCTTATGCAATTATGAAATTCTGTTGACATCTGTGAATCATATTTATTTCAACTATATTTATTTCATAATAACAGTTTTTAATGGATGCATTTATAGACACTATAACTCTTCTGTACTATCTACATGAAAAAAATGTACAATTCCAGACTAGTAATAGTAGTTGAAGATTCAACTAGTTCATCTAATTTAGTGTAAGGAGTATATATATTTGAATTTTAACATTTTCTGTAATGGTATTCAAATAAAACTGAGTACATGGAAACAGAGAGGTGTTGTGGTAAATGCATGGAAATAAAGGCAACAGTAGTATACCAATGATCAAACATAGGGATTTTGTATATTAATTTATTCTTCAAAACTCTTTCACGCATTTGACTTAACTAAAGGGTAAGGGAACCGAGATTTCATTCTCACTCTGTGTGTCAAGTACAATGAAACTTTTAGCCGGAAAATAACATTCCCACCTCACAATATTTAGACCGCACTTATCATTGGCTTGAAATGAATTACTTGCTACCTATCAATCATGCTAGTTCATTGATTAATGGCAGTACAATTAACGAAAAACAGCAACCAACTAAAACCACTGAAGTTGAACTGCTTGTAAATACTTACAGCTATCATCTTGTCACCCTTTATTTCTCGGACTGCTTTCAGACTTTTCCAACCACTTTCGCCTTCAGTCTGTTCCATTACTGTCATTTTAGTATCAGAATCAAACGTAGCTGTTAACTGAAATATCAAATAATGTTTGGGTTCCAGAATGGAGAAATTTAAGCAAATGTGCTAAATATTTTTGAAAATACTCGCTCTTAAAATCACTAGGTCTAAATGTTATATGAACTGTCTACAGTTGGTTGGTAATAATGTGAAAAATTGAGCAATGGTATGATTGCAAATAAGATAAATTTCTATGAACAAAACTGATATAAGTGATAAAATTGAGAATGGAAATGGGGAATGTGTCAAAGAGACAACAACCCGACCACAGAACAGACAACAGCAGAAGGCCACCAACAGGTCTTCAATGCAGCGAGAAATTCCCGCACCCGGAGGCGTCCTTCAGCTGGCCCCTAAACAAATATATATACTAGTTCAGTGATAATGAACGCCATACTAAACTCCAAATTGTACACAAGCATGTCATTAAATAAATTGAAACAAATTGTGACAACTATTCCTAGTATTTCCCAAGCTAAATGGATTTGCCATATTTTATTTGTTACAACCTTTTGTTAGTTTGGTCTTACATGTTCTTCGCAATTCATTTGGTTTTCTAATTTTTTCTAAATACTGAGACCTATATATGCGTACATGAAATAGGTGCTGTTGAAAAGAAGTCATAGGCTTAATATATTGATGGGTTTTTCACAACAGTGTGGACCGATACCACTGCTGGAGGACGTCATATCCATAGGGTTTATACCAGTCAAGTAGATGACTCTACTACTCATATTGTGCTGACATGATATATCATCCTCCAGTCATTTTTTTTTAATTATACAAATAGAAAAAACAAAGAATATTGGGTAACCACCCATGACACAAAATCTCTACATGCACAGCAAAACACACACGAAAGGCAAACATTAAAATTATCTAAAACAGATTTTGTTTGTACCTCGTTGCCCTTAGTCATTGTATCTTAATAGATATTTGTAATGTTCAAAAGTTCAGTTCACAAACCATTTTCACGCTTCAGCAGCAAAGCTAGAACATCAATCAATATAAGCTTGAACAATGAACAAATAGTTCTTCTTGAAAAAAAAACCAAGCCTTTACTAATATTTGTCTTCGTTTAGATTGCAGATCCGTATGATAACTAAGTTTTATGAGGCAATCAGATGACACTTGCATTCGAAACGATATCAATAGATTTTCATAACAACTACAAAAAATATCAATAAAAGAGATACACAAACAGCAAAGTCAAAACCCCTAAATACAGGCAATACTAATAATTTTTCTATTTTTTCTTATTAAATACACAATTACTTGAATGTATTTGTACCTTCAGACCTTTTCCGAACATATTTGTTGTAACTAGTTCCTTCCCTTCTTGGTAACTGTACGTCCTTTTTGGTGAAACAGAAGACTCATTCTCAACCGACCACGTGTCTCCATCTTTACTGAACGTAGCGGTCCAGGTGGAGTCTCTAAACTTTTCAAGTATTTCAGCAGGAAGGCCTAATTTTAATTTAAAAAAACAGGTACAATATGTGATTGAAGATTTTACTTTCCATACTATTAATACTTTGATAGTTACGCCCGAGTCTCCGTACGATCTATACATCTCAAAAATGCATAGATTCTGAGGAGTTTGTGTCAACTCCATAAACGTCCTTTGTGCACCAAACTTACTATTCTTTTAATCCTCATAAAACGGTTACACGTTATTTAATCTATCATAATTACAGAGTTTTTTTGCAAATTGTTCGATCGTTATCAGATTGTTGCTTCATACTGGATCGCAGACTAGTTGTGTCTTTTCGGGATTATCACTAAGGATATGAGCTCATATGTCTTGCCTGTTATTGTTATCTCGTTATGAATCCATATACATTTATACCCTTTGAATCCCGAAAAACAACTTTATGATATTGGACTGTTCTGATTTTTCCATTAATTACCATTGTGATCTTTAATTTCGTTCACATGGAATATTGGCTCATATAACCTTTCAATGCAAGACAACCAATATATTCGTATGATGACCGTCATATTTCAATTCAGTTTAATGTATTTCAGTAAGTGCTTCACTTGCTGATTATTTTCCGTACAAATTGGTCTCAAAACTGACCATTGAACAATTTGGAAGGTTTGGGGGATGAACAATAGATTTCTATCTGTTTTGGGGGTTTCGTCTTTGCTGTTTGTGTATCTCTTTATTGATAGTTTTGGTGGTTGTTATTTGTATTGCCAATCTTTATGGGTTTCGTCTTTGCTGTTGATAGTTTTTTGGTGGTTTTTATTAGTATTGCCAATATTTAGGGATTTTGTCTTTGCTATTGATAGTTTTGGTAGTTTTTATTAGTATTGCCAATATTTAGGGGTTTTGACTTTGCTGTTCGTGTATCTCTTTTATTGATATTTTTTTGTGGTTGTTAAAAAAATCTGTAGGGGTTTTGTCTTTGCTGTTTGAGTACCTCTGTTATTGGTAGTTTTGGTGTTGTTACTAGTATTGCCAATCTTTAGGGATTTTGTCTTTACTGTTTGCGTATCTCTTTTATTGATAGTTTTGGTGGTTGTTATTAGTATTGCCAATCTTTAGGGGTTTTGTCTTTGCTGTGTTATAAGAATTGCCTATCTTTATAGGGTTTAGTCTTTGCTGTTTGTGTATCTCTTTTATTGATATATTTGGTGGTTGTTATTAGTATTGCAAATCTGTAGAGGTTTTGTTTTTGCTGGTTGTGTATCTCGTTTATTGATCACACTGCAAGTGATTTTTCTGGCTATCTGTTATTCATCAATGTATATTGAACTGATGAAGACGGTATTTTATTTTAAAGTTAGGAAACGTAAAATTGAGTAAATGTTTGAAAATTTTTGTAAGCTTAAGGGATAGCGATCTTATTAAGTTAAAGCTTGAGCCTTCCAATCTCATTTGCATTAATTGGTATAAGCACATTTTATAAATATGTTTTTGCAGCCGTTGCTTAATTGGTGGAGTTTGCAGTTGTAGAGTAATGGATAGAGGATTATATGGTTTCAGTTATGTTAAGTTCTGTATAATAATATAATTATACTTTATTCCGTTAGAAAATGCAGCTCATAGTATGAAACAGATACACAATTTATACAGTTTACATATACATATACAGCATTAATGTCATAAACAATTTCTAACAAATTTCTAAGAGGTACTTTATCTTGCAATTTACTGTAACAGTTTGTTATTCAACCCATATTGACTAACATCTTATTTTGTGATATAAAACATGAGAATTCTGGTGATATAGTAAAAGTGAAGAACATGTTGATAAACAAAATTAACAAATAAACCAGCCATCCGTTATATCCTTTGAATTTAAATAAATAACTTACCCATAGCTTTACCAAATGCCTCAAAATTTGACATTGAACCTTTGCCAGCCTGCCATTTTCCTATGAATTGAGCCATTTTGTTTAAGTTGAATTTTTGTATATAATATCAATGTTGACCGTTCAAAGTGTAGCACTATGTGTGGTTTGCAGGCTAGATAAAGGTAAATACGACTTAACTAATCGTACCTGATACTTATAATCTCCTATGCAACTCAAATATGTACATGCACAAAGGTCAACATTGTTTTTCTATTTTTCATTTAACTGTATATTACAATCAATTATTCGTTATAATTAAGTAATGTTATTAACAAAACAAAAGTATATTCATTTCAAATATTATATTTTTGAAGAACATTATGGATCACATTATAACTCTTTTTATATGTTTATTTTTCTTTCTTTGTTTGGTCAATTTATTTTCATAGCTATAAACATGTAACGATATTGCTATCAGAACAACATCATTGAAGAGAGAGGATATATGCAGGTAGTAATACCATCTGAAAATTAAAACTAAAAAAGTGTTATTTAAAAAAAAGTATCGAGCTTTGTTTGAGATATTTGGTAAATGAAATGAAAAAGTCTACCTTATCTTAACGTTTTACTATAAGAATTTGGATCGCAAGTCTTAGTATTCGTTGCGTTGTTTTGCTACAAATAATATCAAACGTGGAAGGGCGAGTAAGCACAGGAAATGTCTAGCCAAACCAATATTTGAACAAAACCTATAGGTTTACGTTCTAGATTAAATGGTTTGTGTATAGAGTGTTTGTTTGTCCTTGTAATCATTGTTGAGATGACAGAAGAATTCAGATCAACGTGGCATGTCAGGTCACCTCTATCAAAATTTTCCATTCATAAAATGGTGAAATACTTTCATTAGAAATAGAAAAAGTTACCATAAATTATTTTATACAATTGAAAGAGAAGAACATAAAAGTGCTTTGAGGGCTAGGATTTATTGTGTGCATAAACTCATGATAGATACCAGAATTATATTTTCTTTGCGCTAGACGCGTGTTTCGCCTACAAACAACTCATCAATTACGCTCAATTCAAAAAAAGATAAAAAAAAAAATTTAAAAAAAAGCATCTACGGTAATCTATTCCTGAGGTAGAAAAGCCTTAGTATTGAAAAGATACATGTACTTTGTATCCATGTGCATGTATCTATGAATGATAAATGATGCTCCCACGTCAATGAGTTAGCAACAGAAGAACTAAAACAAAATAAAATAATATATTCAAAAGAGGTCAACAAATGCATATGGTTTGATTTTATACACTAACTAAGTATTGATTTTTTTTGTGATTCAGGGAGAGTAACGCAGAAGTTACAAACGTCTTTAAAATAGCTAATCTGTGATATGTGCAAATTTCAACCCGCCATGCTCAATGTATAACTTTTATCTCGGTAAATTTCATTTGAAATTATAAAATTATGTTGGGCATTGCCTTCCTCCTTTTAATCATGCACTCACAAAAATGTTTATTTCCGTTACATTCTGTATATTCCCTCATGCACTCAAAAACATGTTTAGCTCCATCACATTCTGTATACTCCATCATGCACTCGCAAACAAGTTGAACTCCGTCACATTCTGTTAATTCCATCATGCACTCACAAACATGTTTAACTCCGTCACATTCTGTATATTCCATCATGCACTCATAAACATGTTTAACACCTGTTGACGTCATATTTTGCTTTAGGACCGACATGACCACTTTAGTAGTTCACTACGTTCCTTTGCCCACAACGGAAACATACCTATTGTAGATTACACGACGTTTAGACGCATTAATATGTACTGAAAAATTTGGTTTAGATACTTCTGTTTTGGTAAGAATACTCTATGGAATAATATTTATATGATTGCATAAATAAGCATAGAATAAGATATTCATATATCACTGTGTAAATAACACTGACAACTTGCATATTATTGTACATTTTAATTTGCATTACGCAGTTGTGAGGCTTGTTTAGGGGGGCTATCAATATCCCATATCCCATTAAGTTTTTGTCCCAATATCCCATATCCCTATAATGTTTACCCCTAATATCCCAATAAATATATTTTACAAATATCCCGTATCCCTAAAACTATTTTGAAATATCCCAAAAAATCATTGATTCATTCCCAAACCCATTTTTGTATACAACATTCATAATACAAGGATGTGGGCTTTTTCACAGGGAAAAGTTAACTATTTATTTGACATATAAACAAGAGGCACAACTCTGTCTTTATCGATCACCTGATGAAAAAACAAATCGCTTGTTTGCTAATGAGGACTTTGATATGCACATAATTTAGTTACTCTTTCTGTTGCTGATCATTTTTGCAATTTACATGTTAAGCCTAGCTCCTATAGGTTTTTAGAAACCAAAAGCCAAAACTTCAAAAACAGTTTAAATCAACATTTCAGGGAGAATACTTCTTAAACTTGTTGCCAAAAATATCATAGTAAAAAGGTCTTGTTATGCTGATTATTATTTTTTTTAATTACACTTTTAATCTAGCTCATATAGTTTTCATGATAACAGACACCAACTGCTAAAATTTATAAAAATAGACATTTCAGGGGCAATAACTCAAAAACAAGTGGTTAGATTTTTCGTATAATTTTCAGGGTGGATATATGTCATCATGTTGATCATTTTTTCCAAATTAAACTTTTAATCTAGCTCCTATGTTTGAAAAATAAAATGGCAAGGATATGTCAAACAAGGGCAATAACTCCTTGAGAGCTCGATTGGCAATTTCGGTCATGATATCTTATTTGTAGGTCTTATTTTACTAAAGATCTTTGTCATTTAATGCTTATCCATGTCCAACATAGTTTCTCCAAAAGATTTAAACTTTTGGTAAATAATCTTTCAAGGGCAATAACTCCTATAAAGGATCTGTTGACCAGTTTGGTCATGTTAACTTATTCGTAGATTTAATTTTGTTGAGCATTTTTGTCACTTAAAGTTTCCCTTCATCTATTATAGTTTCTTAAAAAAACTTGAAAATTTAATTTAAAAAAAATGCTTTTCAAGCCAAAAACTCCTATAAGGGATAAATTTACAATCCTTATAAAAATAAGGAGATGAGGTATGATTGCCAAAATTGCAATGAGACAACTATCCACCAAAGTTCAAATAAAGTGGATGTAAGCAATTATAGGCAACAGTACGGCCTTCAACAATGAGAAAAACCCATACCGTATAGTCGGCTATAAAAGGCCCCGACATGAAAAATAATAATTCAATTGCTGAGAAAACTAACGGCCTATTTTGGGCAATTTTATCAAATGAGATGTAACTATTTCTGTACTTAACTTTTAAATTCCACATTTTTTTTCATGTTCATAATTCAATATCCCTACAAATGCATCAATATCCCATATCCCATTTATTTTTAGGACAAATATCCCATATCCCTAAAATTAAAATGGCAAATATCCCGTATCCCAATATACCCAATACAAGCCTCAGTTGTGCCATTTCACAGATTCTATGTATCGTACATGTTTAAAACACTTTGCATATATTAAGATTCATATTTGAGAAGTAATAACTCATTTTGCAGTTCATTTGAAAGATTAATTAGTTATTTTGTATTGTTTTTTTCATTCGTAATTTGCATATATTTGGTGATGGCTATTGCCACGTAATTGAGTTAAAAGCTGCGGCTTGTGTTACATATCTTTACGTGCTATCAACACTTTTCACAATTGATTATTGACATGAATTTATATTGCAATTTCATGATTTTGGAAGTGATTTGCTATAATAGTAACTTATTGTTAATTTTCATAGTTACTTTAAAGATGAATACTCAACACAGACATTCATTACTTACCTTTTCAAGATTATGTTAATTCATAAACATTATGTTTTTTTTGTGTAATAATATGAGTGTATTCTGACATTTTCACTGGTTGTATTTGCTATTATTTCTTTGGACACTTTATGTGAATTATTAATGTTTCTATTTTCTAGATATATTTTGTGATTATTGTTTTTCTTTGTTATGCAGTTTATCGTAACGAATTAAACGAGTACGCATTAAACATATTGAAGTTATTTGTCTTCTCTGGCCAGTACATTATAAACAAAACAGAAACAGATGCAGATGCTGATGAATCTGTAGACAGTCGTGAAAGGAAAATGACTGAAAAAGGTTTGTTGTCTGGACTTAAAGCAAAAGGAACGAACAAAATTGCTTAAATCATTAAACGGAGTATGTGATGAGTTGGAACAACTTACATCAGAAACAAAGGATACCGATGTGGTGAAACAAGTCTATACAACATGGGTATCTTTGTACGAACAATTACTAGTGTCGCATGAACAATTTCAAAAGCTTCTTGAAGTTGAACATGATAGAGAATTAGATGAAGCGTGGTTTCAAGAGAGAAATAAAAACTTTATTACCCTAAATGACAATGTTCAACAGTGGTTCGTATCAAATCAAGTTCCGAAAATAGTAGTGACTACTGTTCAAGAAGATAGAATGTCACGGATATCACGAGACAGTAGACGCTCAAGAACTAGCTCTATTGCATCTAGTCAACTATCAACTGCAAAATTAAAGGAAGAACAGTAAAAGGCAGAACTAATGGCAAGAGCAAACTCTTTGGCAGATAAAAATGAGTTGGAAGAAGCAAAACTACAATTTAGAATGAGAGAAGAAAAACTTGAAAAAGAAACCAGAAATGCAAGTGAGTGAAGCCAAAGTAAAAGTGATAGAAGCTCTTGAAAAGAGCATGATGGAGGACCAAGAGCTGAAAGAATCTCTCATGAAAGATGAAATTGTTACTAAACCCAAAATGTTAAGTTATAAATTGAATCCAGATGTACCAGAGTGGGTTCTTGAAGAAAGAAAACAAGAAACGACAGTAAAAGAAAAGGTATTGTTTGGTACGGATACAAATAACAACATTGAAACATCTAAAATTCATGATCATAGTTTTCTGTGACAGTTTGATGCTAGAGTAGTTGCAAATACTGATTCATTTGATGAGAGACTTAACTTTTTATTACAATTTACTATTGGAGAGCCACATATAATTGTGAGTGGATTTTCTCATTTAG